GGCTCGTCAGCCGGCCATCATGGTCCGGTCTCCTCGTCGCTTCTGGCCGGCCTCTTTTGGCTATGATACAGGGTAAGCACGTACCAGCCACGATCGTGCCGACCGAGGGAACGCGCGATCACTGCGACTACAAACCGTGAAAATATCACGACGAAGGAACCCTGGACTAACTGGTGTTTCGCCGTCATGTAGCACGATAAACGGCATTCTGGCCATGGAGGCTTTCCGACGAGACTTTACCACTGTGCCTCAAGGAGCCGACGGACGATATATCATCACGGCCGCCCAGTCCTCCATCATCGTCGCCATCCTCAGCGCGGGCACGGCCCTCGGTGCACTGCTGTCTGCGCCGGCAGGCGACACCATCGGCCGTCGCATGTCCTTACTTGCATCCGTCGGCGTCTTCTCCTTCGGCGGTATCTTCCAAGTCTGCGCGCACAATATTGACATGCTTCTTGTCGGAAGGTAAGCATCATCTGCGGCTGGCCCTGAGCCGCGAGATTCGTCATACCTGGGGCTGACCCGACGCAGGTTCTTCGCAGGTGTGGGAGTAGGCGCCATTTCTGTCCTCGTCCCCCTTTACCAGTCTGAAATGGCTCCAAAATGGATACGTGGAACACTCGTCTGCGCCTATCAATTCTCCATCACCTTGGGTTTGCTTTGGGCTTCGAGCGTGAACATGTTAACCCAGCACATGCAAACACCTGCCGCCTATCGCATACCACTGGGCATCCAGCTTGTATGGGCTGTCGTACTGGCTGCCGGTCTTCTCGTTCTACCCGAGACCCCACGTTATCTGGTTAAGTCTGGCAAGCAAGAGGCGGCAGGCCTCTCGCTTAGTCGACTTCGCCGCCTCGACATCACTCATCCGGCCCTCCAGGACGAATTACGCGAGATCGTGGCCAACCACGAATATGAACTCACTTTGGGCCCCGACTCATACCTCGAGCTCTTTACCGGCCACCCGCACCTCGGACGACGTACCCTGACCGGCTGCGGACTGCAGATGCTGCAGCAACTCACTGGCATCAACTTTATCATGTACTACAGCACCACCTTCTTTGACGGTGTCAATGTCGATGACCCCTACCTCAAGTCCCTCATCCTTCACATTATCAACGTCTGCTCCACCATCCCGGGCCTATTGGTTATCGAGACGTGGGGTCGCCGCAAGCTCCTCATTGTAGGCGCTATTGGTATGGCCATCTGCCAGCTGTTGATCGCCTCTTTCTCGGCAGCGGCAGGAGCCCATCTCCGGCAGGCTTCGCAGATCATCCTCATCGTCTTCTGCGCCATCAACATATTCTTCTTCGCGGCCTCCTGGGGCCCGGTGACGTGGGTTGTCACTTCCGAAATTTACCCCCTGAAGATCCGTGCCAAGGCCATGTCCGTATCCACCTTTGCCAACTGGCTGCTGAACTTTGCCATTGCCTATGGAACGCCGTTCATGGTCACGGATGAGCCTGGATCCGACAACATCGGGCCCAAAATCTTCTTCCTCTGGGGCGCCTTCTGCATCATCGCATTATTATTCGTATGGTGCATGGTATACGAGACCAGCAAGGTCAGTCTCGAGCAGATTGACGAGATGTACGAACGCATCGACTACGCCTGGAACAGCACGCGATTCGAGCCCAGCTGGAGCTTTCAACAGCTGCTCACAGAGGGCTGGTCTGATAGCGGGGTGCCGCCTCACCCCGAACACGAACTACAACAGACGTCATCGGCGTCAACAACTCAGTCGAGCTCTAATGCGCCATCAGCACCAGGGACGGGGGGTTCTGGGAGCACGTCATCGTCGACGTCAGAAAACAAAACACAACCACAGTTGGGCAACGTTGATTTTAGTTATTGATCTATACCCCAAAGCATGAATCGCTGTTGTCATTAGGATCACCTTCGTTCTTTTCTCTTTTCTCGTATCATACCATATACCGAATATCAGCTACCAGCGACGGAGTTAACGAAGTAACGGAGTTCAAAGGTAAGGGAACGGCCGGGACGGGATGGGTTGGAGGTCGGGCCTCGAGGACGGAGGACTTGACCGGAACATGTTTGGGCAATTCATTACATCAACGGCGTGCGTACTACATACTCGATAACGTGCTCGACGCGGAAAGTCCATCATGTCTCTAACAGGC